GTTGAGGACTGCGGGAAAGGGGACGAGGAGAGGGAGGATGACGGGGATGAGGACGAGCGGTGGTGGTGGCGAGGGCGGCGGTGGCGGCGGGTGGCGGCTGCGACAGTGGCGGCGAGCAGTGCCGCGCGCGCGGCGGTTGCGCGCCGCGGATTAGCGCCTCGCATTAATAACGGCATCAGCCGCCAGGGGCGCGCTAATCGCATTACGGATCGACGCGAAAGCCGCCATTTGTCTGCGACCGACGACCAACGAACGAATAAACGAACGCGCGAACGAATGAACGAGAGATGGCGGCGCGGCGCGGCGTTGCGCGGAGCGCGTGGGTGGCGGGGGAAGGCGTCGCGACGCGACGCGGACGACGGGCAACGCCGGGCGCCATTTTTGCAACACGCCGCTGCCGTCGCCTCCGTTGCCGATCGGGCTGCAACTCGAGGGCCAGGGCTTTGCGAGTGGGTAGTGACCGGGACGAAGTGCTACACTTCTCCTATCGGGACGAGACGAGATAGCCCATCTGTTTGGAGAGGTCATTGCGGTAATGTCTCTCCTCAAGTCCTTTTTTTCTAATTTCGCTGAATTTATGCAAGATAGTTACCAAAAAGTGATCGTGTTGCATTCAAGACGTATACCAATTAAGAATGAAATTTATTTCAAATTACCCATTAAGAAAGTTAGAAATACTTTGAGGCTCGAAAAAAATTGCTCCTTTAGAAATACGGTTTGAATCTGCCGAGTCGAATTAACGGTTCAAGAGGGCGAAGAGACATACGACCGATTGGCGATGTTGATCCAGTGGGATGAAAGAAGTCGTTTTGGGGAAAAGGCTAAAGTTACTAGCACCTCAGAGCCTCGTATGCGGAAGTCGGCAGGTTTTTAAAGACCAAAGAAAGATGTCGAAAGAGAAAACATAGATGTTAGTATATTGTTATTGGATTACAATTTTCATTTGGGTTTTCAAATTTTTTTAATCCTTATTATTTTAGTTTAGTTATTTATATTTTAATACTATGATTCCAAACGATTATACTGGCAGCTTCAAAGAAATTACATGAATTTCCTGGTCCGAGAAGCTAAGCATCACCTTATGAAACTTAAGTGTTTGAGGTTATATCTCTACCTCTTTGTTTTGCAATTATCTTTTAATTCATCCACAATAAGACACTTCTTCCCACAAAACCTTACATCTACAATATTTATGTAAACATATTTGTCTTGTGAGTTTTCTGTTTCTCTGATCTTCTTAATTTTTATTTCGACTTTAACGTGAATTTCTAACATTCAGTTGTTTGTTCCGTCAACAGCAAATATTAGGGTGACAATGTTCGCTACTCCTTTCGTTATTCAGTACCGACTGTAGAGAGGTAATAGTTACATTTTACGTTGGAAGGAGACTACAAATGATAACTTAGGATGAATTGAAGAATATCAGGAAAGCAAATACTTGAAGTCTTTTGAGTGTAGTAAGTCGGTGGAAATTGTTGGAACTGAACTATTTCTGAAATAAATATGGCTATTTCCTATTTACGACAGTGATGGCGATTTATTATATAACTAAGATTAGGAGATGCAAAAGCATATTTTTATTATTTAATATTCCGTTGAGAAGACGAACCGGACAACGTAAGTGGATCTCATGATACCTCACGAATGTGTTGCTGAATTATCTTTTAAGTACTATTATTATTTGCAATGATGTCAAATGAATTTCTTAATTTTATGAGGATTTAGGACAATTCTTATATCTGGATTAATGATCTTTATACCTTACGTATTCTTTGGAAACAGACAAATCCTGATTCAATGTCTCGGAAAACTTTATCATGACGTTTGATGAGCAACGTTGTTCCTATCATCTGACACGTCTTTCAAGACTCATCACTTTTCAATCTAACTAGTATATCTTGATAATGAAGCTTGCTTTGCAAGCATTAAAAAATCTAGGATAAGGAATATGTCCTATATTTTCTTATCATGCAGGTATATATTTCTTGTTGAATTGTTAGTGACTTCCGTGAAACTATTTCATCATTCATATCATTCTAATTATTATTGATGGAATATAGTCACAATCAATGATTCCAGAATTTACGATAATCTACAGAGCATACTTCTCTCTCTATAGTACGTCACACAGTTTGTAAATGTTTTTGACTTTAATTAAAACTATATAAATAAATGATGTAATGCTTATTCTTATTATATTCCTCAAGTAATGTGAATTATTAGTCCTAAAATATGAATATTTAAGAAAGTATTTTCCGAAATATCAAAAAGGAAAATGAATGTGTGCGGCGAACAAGAATTTAAAAAAAAGAAAGTTAGGATAAGGAACCTTGGTCAGAAAATACATCGTTAAACGTGTACCAGTATTAACTTTATAAGTCTCATGATAAGTGTTCACAGAAAAAATGTATAAAATACAAATTATTGTACAAAATGTACATAAAGTATCTCGGTTTCACGATTTAAATTTTCTACTTAAGTCTTACTCTACTTAGACGCATGGGACATTTGATTTCTGAAGTTTCGGATATCCTCAGTCCACAGTGTCAAGGGTGGACCGTGAGTATCATATTAGAGAAATTAATGCCGATCATGGGCAGTGTGGCACCGACAAAGATAGCTCTTGGCGTCAACTGATGTCATTGCAGTTCCTCGGACCGCGAGGTCCTAGGGTTCGAGTCCGACGGTGGTAGGATTTTCGACACTAGCATGTGAAATAATTGAATTCAGCATCTGTCTGGAGGATAATTCTAGCAGTTGGCTACTCTGGTAGGTATTGTGCCGTGGTTTCTCCGATCAACACCAGGCGAATTCCGGAGAAGTACCCAAACAAATGGGCCACGGATCGCGCGCATCATTCCTACCCCCTCCTGGCTTTTTCCTCTCTCCTTATTGACACACACACTCAAATGTTCCTGTCGGGAGCGTACAACTTGTCCCTGGGCTGGGGCGGTGCCACACTGGTGGAAGACACCTGGTTGGGGAAAATTCCCGTAAGGCGACGGAGGTCGGCGTCGGATCTCGCCATCCAGCAGGAGAACACCGCCACTTCACACGATAAAAGCATGCACTACACACATGAGACTAATGACCTTAGCAGTTGAGCCTGGAATCAATAAGGAATCAATCAATGGACAGTGTGATGACCGCACCCGACGGGTACCTGTGACGTCTGAGCAGAATCGTCGATACCAACACACAAAAGATAGTAAGAAGACAACACCAATCAGAGCAGCACGTGACAAATGTGTGTTTCAGGTCAGTGAAGAGAAATGTGGGTTAAAGCATCAGAAGACCGATAGGAATGACGTTATTGGGTTGGACTAGACTGCCAAGCGTGGATCGGTAGCGGCCCAGTTGAGCTCGTGATTGGACCGTAGATCAACTGCGCATCCTATGATCAGGCTTTTGGCACAATGACTCTTGATCCATTGAGCAAATGCAGAGATAGTCCCTTTTTTTAATCTGGACAAAAATGTAACTTTATTATCTACACACATTTTCTTGAGCTTTGTGTGAAATTGAAGGGGTATTTAGTTATTTCAGTACAGATACAAAGCAAATAGTTTTTATTACGCGGGAGCGAATATTTCGTGTTGACAAGCAATTACCACAAACGCCTTTGCTACTTTTATTCATAATTCAACTTAGAAGAGCATAAGCATGACAATTGGGATTTCGGAACTCCGAAAACATACGAAGATTGAACATCTTTCACAAACGGTAAATGGCGACAAAAAAGTAATTAAATAAATAAAGCAGCGTGATTGGATGAGTCTCAAATTTGCTCGTTGGGGTCAAGGTCAAGTAGTATTCTCAATAAGGCACTCTCCGAATGGCTGATGATTTCAAAATGTGCGGGTTACTTGGTATAATTTGAGTTTTGTCGAGTAGAACAAGACGTTGACCGATAATCAGCAAATTGGTAACAATCTCCAGCCATTTATGGACTTGGTGAACACTAAGCATACCATACCATAATTGTGGGTAGGGTGAAGAATGATTTTTCTAGTTTCTTGATATGTAATATTTTCTTACGTAGGAGGTATATGCGTCGAGTTTTAATGGTCACAAATTTGATTTTCACGAAGTTCTCGAATATCATATCACGCCAGCGTCCTTACTATTATCTACTGATACTGTAAAATGGTTCTTTCTTTAATTTACTGAACAAATATTGAAATGTATTCTCAATCTGAACCACTTCATCCAAAACAATCTTTCAAAGTAGTCAGGATCAATTTTGGAAGATCTTTTCTTCTAGGGCCATTGGCGTACGGCCCACAATTATCGAACGTAATCTGCAACATAGTCTACTGTAGTCAAACGGAGGCGATGAAAGCCAGACTTGCGCTGCCATCCTCAAACTTTCTAAGTGACCTCATTCCCTTATCTACAGCCCCCGCACAGAGGTTATTATGAGGAGGCATCGCGCGGTCTCAAACCAAACGTACCTTTCCCTTTAGTCACTGGTAATGGTCAATCCTAGGAACAATAATTCGGTATCAGGCTAGATTTCAGTTGCAGGAATTGAATAATGCTACATGTCCTGAGGAAACGTATATCAAAACTGAACGGTATGCCGCAGCCAGATAGGGAATACTGATAGCCGCTTCGCGCAAGCCTCGACAAAGAAATGACAGCATCACCACTCGGCAGCCATTGGCGATCGGTGGGGTAGCCGCGGGGGCGGAGAGGGGGAGGCGTCAGAGGGGAGCGAAGGCCGGCTGGAAAACGAGTGGAGCGTCTGATTCGCGCTCGTATGTTGGCATTACGCGCCCATGACGAACGCCGCCGCCGCCGCGGATTTGCACGCCGATAAATCGCCGATGCATCGCTTGCGCCGAATATATCGATATATTGCGGGGCGCAGTTGCGAGCCCCAATCCCAGCGCGTCCATCAATCGGCTTTTAGCGGCGGGCAGCGCGGGCGGCGGAGGCGGTGGCGGGGCTGTGGCGGGGGCGGGCGCGGCGCGGGCGGCGACGGGGCGCGAGCGGTGATGGGCAGTGGGCGTCGAGTGCCGGGCGACGCTGCCGGGCGGCGGCGGAGGGCAGCGGACAGGCCGAAGAGAAAGAGTACAACGCGCGTGCAAGAGTCGGATGACATGCGACGCTCAGCGAGCTGCCAGCAGCGGCTAACAGGCGCCGAAGTTGGTGACTGATGGGTGACGAGGGTGAAGGGGGCGGCGATGGCTCAGAGGCAATTTCGTTATCTCTCCGGCTTCGTTGAACGGGAGGTTCAAGGGTTCGATCTCTGACGGGAGCGGCTTTTCGGTATTAGTTACACAGCGAGGACGAATTAACTCAGTCTCTAGAAATATGCTAGCGCCCGGCTATTCTGATCAGACGCTTTACGTGTTTTTACCGATCAATACCAAGCGAATATTAGAGCAGCACCTTACCAAACTGGTCACAGTATGCGTGAGATATTTCCTTCAACTTTTTCCCCTTCTCTCACCATACACACAATATCTTTTACACACTTGCATTGCACAACCAGGGGAACCACTTAGGAAGGTACGACGTGTCTTGACTGGAGTAGTGTCCCGTTCGGGGAGGCACCTGAAACAATATAAAAATACGCTATTGATACGTATGTAGGTCCGCGCCGGATTCCAGTGAGGAGGGGGGATCGCCGCCCCCTCACAAGATATAATACTCACTCTGCAGTCAAGGGTTTATTGTTCTAAGGAATTTACACGTCCGGAAACAAATTTTCAGCCACCCACGAAGATGAAATGGGGTGAAGGAGATGGAGCATATGGAAGGCGGCGAGTGGTCGAAGAACGTACGAAACAGCAACGAAGAGCATTGGAATCTTTATTGGGAACAGGACATAGAGAGAATCAAATGGGTAGAAGAGTTGGTGAACAGGCTGTATTGAGTTGAACAAAGTGTGCAGTTTCCATATTGTTAGTGTCCAGTGGCAGATGGAAAGGGATTCGCGAGACGAAAGGTACATTTTTCGGTATACTATTTGCTGTGGAGGATAACCAGCCGAGAATAAAACTAGATGAGTATGTAAGGATTGTAAGTGGTAATTATCGGTGGAATATAAAGTTTTAGGAATATGAAGGCCTTGGGAAGTGCATGTTAAAACCTGTTTGCAATGTAAAGGTTACCGCTCTGAAGGATTGTCACTGGGAACAAATGAAAAGCATTTTAGTCTTTTCAAAGATTGAGTTATGGTGAAAGGATTCCAACTTCATACAAAATAAAACGAGATATCTTAAGGTGGAAAGTGGAATGAGAAGCTCCATTATACACAATATATTTTTTGTGTTTCCTGTTCTTTGAGATATCTGGGAGAAAAAAATAAACATCTTCGAATAAGTACAGTACAACCTTTCTAATCCGAGTCCAGCAAATCCGAAATGTAGGATAATCCCAACAAAATTCGGGACATAGAAAAATAAACAAAATAAATAAAATGATTATTTGTAATATAAATAACGGATTTTATAATTATTGTAGAACTGAACAACTAATAATAAGAAACACAAGTTGTCGAAATAAAACGGTTATTGCACTGGTAACTACAGTATATGTCACATATTTATGTAGAAGTAATTTTCATTTAGATGAACTTGGAAAATGGGTTATCTTATTTTGCCATAAGGAACTGAATCTGGTTGATGCGATATCTACGCTATGTTTCCATTTTCTCACATCCTATAGATGTATTTATATTGCATGGTCCGGATAATCCGATCATTTCCGAATCTCCAATGAGTTCGGATTACCGAGGTTATACTGTATTCTATTCTAAATTTAAAAGATCAATGGTTGTCGGAGATGAATCTAATCATAATATGATTGTCAGTGTATTTTTTAAAAAGATAGTGCGCGAATACACGCTACGACAATCATATTGTTAAGGGATCCGCATAGTCCCTCCATTGTATTTTCAAATTAGTAGCTTTTTCCCATCTGTGACTCCTGTCATGTGATATATTTACATTAGTTTAGTTAAATAGAATTTAGTATGTCTTCCTATATCATGAACAATTAATTTGCGTGAGTCTCTTTTCGCACATTAATGAAGCAAACCAACACTTTTTTCAATTGTTGGTAGACCAGTATGTACCATGTGGCATGTTGTAGATAATCTTCTCTAAACAAGGATTGAGCATTTATCTGTTATGGTGTCCACTTCTTCTTTGGCCCATCTACGCCTGTCTTTCATCGTGCAATAAACTGCAGTGCAAATTCCGGCAATCTTTCAGTTGGCATCCTTTCCAAATTTTCTCACAATTTCTTCTTGCTAGTAAATATTTGTTCTAACACAAGCATGGCATTCAACTCTTTTCTTATATCCACATTCTTCTTTTTATGTAAGTGGGTGTGTCCTTGAGTACTTCATAAAAATTTCATTCTACGGAAGATACTCGTAATAAGACACATATGTGTCTTATATCCTTGCGCTCCAACTACAAAGGATGCAAAAACTTGAAGCATTATAATCAGAAGACTGATAGAATATCAAACTATATATCGTTTGTGATTATTATCAGCTTAGAAAATAAGGTATCAGACGTTTTCTACATTTCAACAAAAGAAAAATTAATGGGAAATAAGCTTACCAGTAGATGTTGACCAAGAGATGAAGATCATCTAAAATAGATGGCAGTTGTCATGAGTATACATGTGATGATGCTGGCGAAGAAGATCTCATAATGACAGAAATCGAGGAAGAAGAAAATAACATTGATAGTTAGGAAAGGTCTTTTCTTCTTTTTTATAACTCTAGTACTGAAATTCGTTTAGCAGGCTGACGTTGTGAAGTTTTGACGACCTAAATTTGGGTGCGATCGCAGAGTTGTGCATGATGGAGGGCTGCCGCAACTTACACCCCAATGCCGTCAATTCAATAATTCCCTCAATTCACTAAGAGATATCGTGAAGAAACTGCTGTGCACTAACGAAGCGTTTCTCAAGCAACCATAGGAAAGAAAATCTCTTCCAATTCTTTTAAGATTGATTGATTGATTGGTTTAACAAGCTTTTAAAAATCCTTGAACGATGAGTTTACTGTCTGAGGCCCATAAACGATGATCTAATGAGTAGGTAACTGCGATAATGATGGTGAGATGAATGATGGCCATGTAGAGAAGTGCGATGTTAGGGAAGGGGAGAGCTAGTTCACCGAACATTACTCTTATATTGGCCGACGTTCGAAGCCGGGCCCCAGCGGAAGAAGGCGTGTGCGCTAAACATTGCTCCAGAAGTCCCTTCTCGTCCTCGTCTTTCTGCTATGGTTGCACCTAACAATCACATTTCAAACAGAGGGTGTAAAGGCTGCAATAGACTTTAATGTGTGCTCAATGGAGATAAAAGTGTAAAGAAAGCAAGATAATACTGAAAATTTGAATTTGCGGCGGATGCATAATTTACTGTACCTCTGAAATAATAAAACCAATCGTAATTGAAAACTATTATTGCGTCTTTGGATTATCATGAAAACAGGGAACATCTGATATCGTAAACAAAATATCTTAGTCCCGAGTAGTTCACTAAAACCGGAGTCGACTGCATATCGAATGGAAATCTTGTGTCTTCGTTAGTGCCATCTGTGTTTAAGGTGTGATTTAGTGCATGGGGATACACACCTAGTCATAGGAAATATTGGAAGTGATGTAGATTTTCTGAAATGTTATTTTGGAGACGATACTATGACGTCTTTTTTTGACTATAGTTTACTTTGTTATCTTCAGAATTCCTCTTTGGATTAAGGAAGTGCATATCAAAATACTTTGAACATTTCAAGCCCTGTATCCAGCAATCCAACAAGAAGTATTCCCAGTTCGTAACTTCCTAAGCGGTGAAATCGGAAATTATCTTCACCTAGCCTCGAGACTGACGTCATATATCTCGAGAATTTCGAAATTTCTTGGGAAACATTCTTTGTGTTTCGAATCCAAGAGTGCCTAGGAAATCACAATGGTCTTCTTGTCCAAGTCCCTCTCTGCAGAGCACGTTACCTCAAGACTGTACGGAGATCGACTGTTCTGAGATCGACTGTTCTGAGATCGACTGTTCTGAGATCGACTGTACGGAGATCGACTGTACGGAGATCGACTGTACGGAGATCGACTGTACGGAGATCGACTGTACGGTGATCGACTGTACGGTGATCGACTGTACGGTGATCGACTGTACGGTGATCGACTGTACGGTGATAGACTGTACGGAGATCGACTGTACGGAGATCGACTGTACGGAGTATACATGGTCAAAGTTCAAGTTTGTGAAATTAGGATTAAAAGCTTTGGGAAAAAATACGTTTTTTGTTGCTTCAAATTCAACATTTAATACGTTTTAAAACTGATCTACACTTCAAATCTGCTAACCTTAGTGTCCAATGTTGAAGTGTTATAGATAGATCTCGTCTTTTAGGTCCTTGCTGCGTTGGTATAACGACTCTTGGAACAAAACGGAGGGAGAGGGCGACTTTTTCACTCGCCTCGCCGATTTACTCCTCCTCCTCTTCTCATCGACTCTTCCCTCCCACTTCTCTCCCTGGTCTCTGCTCTTCCGCCCGATTATGAAATGTGGAAACGACCAGTTCCCCACACTCCCCTACGCGTTTAAGTCCGCCAAAAGCGCGGTGCCGCGGCGCGGGCTTGTGAATGATGGTCCGTACGTGGCCGCCATTTGCACTCATAAATCTCGAACGCGCAACTATCGATTCGCCTGTCGATATGGCCGCCGCTGCCGCTGCCGCCGCCACCGGCGCGCCCCACTCCCGCCCCAAAATGGCTGCCCGGAAGCAGGCGAAAACATTCCGCGCAGTGCAAGCCCAGGCAACCCTGCGCAGCTAACGCAGGGGCAATCGGATGTTCAACATATGCTGCCTTCGCGACGTAATATTTTTTTTTCGAAATAAGAGACGTGCTAACTGAACTGCTCTTTAAATTCATATTTATTATTATTATTATTATTATTATTATTATTATTATTATTATTATTATTATTATTATTATTAAATCATATAAAGTTCAGCGGTACATAACTACAAGTCAATAGATCACCCATCAAAAAATGAAAACGAAACTTAAATTAATATGTTGACAATAAATGTTAGTGGTTATAATATAAATTATAAATTAATAAACATTTATACGTTTATTAATGCAAAAATGCTAGTATTTATAAAACCAAAACTCTTCCATTATTTCTCAGAATTTTCCTTAGAAGTGTGTATCTCACTGTATATAACAGATTTCAAGGCGAAGGGAATAAAGAACAGAAGTGGAATATTTATGCTGATACATTAAACAAGACATTATCTGAAAGAGCGATACGTGTCGAAGAAAGGTTGACTCGTAATGAATATGTTCTTTCTCTGAAGGCAATTCCGCTGAAGGCATGTTCGTCCTTTCTTTTTTTCTTTTTTAGGCCTTTTATCCAGCCTACAGCCTGTTATCCTTTACGTCCCGATGGGATGCATATTCTACCACACACTAGATAGCAACACATTCGCGGGTTCCTCTGATATGTGGTCAATAGAACGCTACTCTCCGCGACAACACATACATGAGACACAAGGGATAACAATCAAGCCTAAGGTGAGACTCGAACCGGCGATCCTTGAGACCGAAGCGCTGAGTCGGTACATGCTCTTAGCCACCTCGGCCATCCAGGTTGGCACATGTACGCCCAATTCCAAAAACCTAACCCTGAAACGACCAATGAATTTCGTCCCTTCACATTTCTGCCATTTTGTCCAAAATCTTTGAATATGTATAGTAAATTGATCCTTTACTCAATCTATCCATCTGTGGCAGTCGAATTCTCATGCAGAATTCAGTGCCACAACGTCTCTTCTTCAGATATCTGATTAGGTCATTTACATTCCTGATAACGTTAAGTTAATATTCTAAGTGTCGACTGTGCAAAAAATGTTTGATATCAACATTTTTGAACTTTTGTTGGCACAATTTTTCTACTGGGAATTTTGAGTAACGAAATACCATTAATTCGCAGTTATCTTCGTTACGATCCCAGGGAGTTTATCTGAGTGATTGTAAGAATTTAGATTTTCTCCTTGTGAAATCTGGAGTACCTCAGGGTTCAATCTTAGGACCACCGTTATTTAATCTTAATGTTGCGGATTTATCGCAATTATCTTCATCATTTTATTTCATTCTACGCGGATGATTCAATATTACTACTTTCCTTTGATTTGTCTGTTTATTAAGATGCCATAGATTGAATGAATAATGACCTTCAGATGATACCAAAATGGTTTCCTGACAATACTCTACTCTGACAACCTCTGACTATTGTAAATACTAATAAGTTCTATTATCTTGGTGCATATTGGTAACGTAAGTTGGTCAAATTATTATCCTTACAATTCAAGTACCTATTCCTCATGCTAAGTCGTTAAAGATTTCAGGACTTCCTTAGAGGAGTTTTGTTAATTGCTAATGATGTGAACTTGAAATGTCGTTAGGATTATGGTTTTCTGCAAGCTATTTTTTCCTTAGACAAATAGACACTTAGACGAAAATTGAAACTTCAACCTACGGAATTATTAGTCCTACCACTATTCAGTAATGCTGAATTCCTTTAAAGAGTGTAACAAACCAAAGTTCAGAAAATACAGAATTCATGTCTATGTTTTATTTATTTAGTTCGGAAAACTGCCCGACTTTTACAGTATTATATGAACTGAAATCAATGTTTTTTCAACCAGATATTTTACTCTTTGGGTATTCCCTTGAGCCCTTCTATCCTCAGAACGGCGCGTCAGTAATTGAGGGGACATGAATGCACAGACCTGTTCGATTTCTCATTCGCATTCCCTTTGCTGAACGATTCTGTCAGTCAATCAGAGATGTAAAATGATTAATGAATGAAATATAACTTTGTCATAGCTTGTTTCAGATAGAACAAAACAGTGACATCTCATCTGACGAGCTATCTTAATGAAGTTTGAAACGCTATCTGATTGCGATGTTAGTGTTGTAGTTAGGATCTGGGAAACCCCGAGACCCAATATCCTAACTACGATTGTCAAACAAGAAATCCGGAGATTTAGATCTAATTTATATTTGTACGCCTCAAATTTTAAATTATATTCAACTAGCTACTCAGCAAAGACATTATTCTTCACATATTGCTCGCAAGATTCTCGTTGCTGGGACCTTAAATATTTATTTTGTAACATTTTAGTTCATAATCTTCATAATGAATAACACGCAACAGCGTAGAATGAACGTATCATGTGAAACAATTTATAAGTTGCCCATATATTCGTCCATTACTGACGAAAATTAGAACATGTTATGATGGTTCAGTGACATTATTTTTCACTACATGGTCTCTGGCAGGCATGTTCTAGTGTTCGAGTCCCGAACAGTGGCGGAATTTTATCACTAGCTATATAGCAAATTCGAATTCAGAAACTGCCTCGAAAATAATTCCAGCGACCAGATACTCTTATCGGCAGTTTTCCGTGTTTTTTTCCGATCAATACCAGGCGAGTGCCGTAACAGTGCCCTCACAACCGAGCCAGGAACAGCGTGCAAACTTCCCATTCCCATCCTTGTTATCTCCTCTCGCCTTATACTTACGTACATTCGGTACCACATATTTCGTGAAACCGGTCGGAAGCATTGAGCTTGTACCGGTTGGAACGGTGTCCCGCTGGGGAGTGTCCCGCTGGGGGGTGTCCCGCCTGGAGAGGGACATATGGCAAGCAAAGATCTAGGTCTGCGCCGGATCTCGTATTCCAATTAAAGAGGAACATCGTTACATCCCAGCTACAAAACACACTACACTACTGGGACTAATGATCGAATAGTTGACGTGCGACGTACTAACTCCAAACACTCCCTCACTCACTCAAAAAGTAGACGTCCGGGAAGTCGTCCAAGTTGAGCGAGAAGTGCGTAAACATATAGTCGACGCGGTGAACGTGCTACGAATCACCCTGCCTTTAACGGGTCGATCCCCATCAAATGAAAATATTCTAACCGACAAAATCTAAGAAAATATGTTGTTAGACAGATCTATCTGCATTCTGTTGCTCGTGGAACGCAAGTGCTGTAATATGTGGAAAAGTAAGTAAAAATACAACACTGAAGGTGGGAAGAATTAGCTGAATAATTAGCTAACGAAACTTGGACATTAATTTACTTGAAATTACTCAAATTTATTTGCAACCTTGTCATTCCAAAATTTCGTAATCCCGACATTTTATTATTTTTTGTTTCGAATAATTCACTGACACGAAATTGCAGCCATAATAGAGAATTATGTTAATGAGCTATTCTAGGGAGCGAAATATTTTACAATATGTTTTATCGTGGAATAACTTAAAATATTTTGGAACGGTAATCCCCAACTTTATTGGGGACCCTGAGATGGTGGGGGTCATCAATTGGGGTCCCTGACTTAAAAGTATAAAAGTATGCAAAAAATGTGTGCTCAATTATAAAGGAATATGAAAATTCAACATTTGGTGTTCCGTTAGCACAATTCATACGTTCACTGCTACAAATATTATATTTAAGTACTAATTCATAGCAATCACTTTTTAACACTAGAACGACCTAGTGTGTCAAAATGTCACATTTGCGATATACAGGTGTCCCATTTAACCTGACAAATGAAAATATCTCGAAAATTACTCATCGTACAAAAAATTTCCAAGACAAAAAATGAGTATCTCCAAGGGGGTCATCTGCCTGACCTAAAATCAAACCATGCCCTCACCCCTTGTGGAGAGGGTGACAACTTTGAAATGTTAAATGGGAACCCCCATTTTTATTTCATTTGGATTCTACCCTAAAAAATACATCACCTTATCTAAATTATTTTTTGATCCGTAATAGATGGCGCTGAAATTTTAAAAATAAGATTTTTTGCAATTCTCGAGAAATTACACTTTTGATTGAAAAATAAAGAATCACATTTTCAATACTTTTAAAAATGTATCAAGTGATAACAGATAAACCCCCATCTTCACTCCTAGGGGGTAGGGTGTGTGGTAGCTTTTAAGTCTCCAATTGGATCACCCATTTTTTCATTAAAGAATTGGATTTAACGTGTAAGTTTTTTTCATTCGTGATAGGGTTAAAATATTTTCAACAAACTACTTTTAGCATCACCCAGAAACAACGATGTGGACGTAGTAATTTTTGTTCCCTCACGAATGAAAAAAATCTACACGTAATATAAATCTTCTATGAAAAAAATGAGGGTTTCCTTTGAGATTTGAAAGTTACAATCGTCACCTCCGGGGCCGGTGCTTAACTGTTATCATGAGATACAATTGTTTAAAAAAATATTGTCCAGTTTTCCTTTCTTTTTCAATCCAAAGTATTGTTTCTCGAAAATTGCAAAACAAATATTTTTGTGTCTACAGCGCCATCTATCAAACATTTTAAAAAAGGTTTTAGACACAACTTATGAATTTGTTTGTGTAGAATCCAAATTGTAAGAAAAATGAATATTTCTATTTAACATTTCAAAGTTGCCGCCCGGCTCACCCCCAGGGGGCGGGGATTTTAAGTTTTGTCAGAAACATTTTTTTGTACGATGCGTATTTTTCGAGTTATTTTGATTTGTCATGTTAAATGGGACACACGGTATACTACAACGTTGAGTTTGAGTTGTAACAGGTAGAAAACTGCTTCTTTGTAAGTGCTTTCTTTAGAGCATGAACTTCATATGCTGTCGTAATGCCTAATCCTGTGGTTTTCATAGAATTGTAAAAAAATGTAGATATACCTAGAAGCACCGCCATGTGTCATAATGACACAGTAAACTTTTTCAAGTCTTAGTATTGAATTTTTGTCTCATGTTTCCGTGTTCTGTAGTACGTACTATATATCTGGGTTTCCGATAGATAAGAACAGTGTTGTCTTCTTGAAATTCGATGCATATGTAACGATCTGTTATAAATCACCGAATACATTCGAATCAACAGTAGTTGTTACAGAGAAGTTTTCGTGTGCAGAACGTAGTTATAAGTCGTACGTACGAGTGAAACTTTGCGTAATGAGTATAGAAAAAAGACTGAGCGTACAAGAAATTCTTCGTGAACTTTAAAATCTTACTAAAGAGAGTGACGGTGGCTGTGACAGTAATGGAGACATTTCTGAGGAACAAAATTGTGATGGATGATGAAATCAAAGATTCTTATTGTGATATAGATTCTAGTGAAGAAGTAGAATGTATATCCAGTATCATCCAGGACGTAGGAAAAGCAGCAGAGTGAGTGAGTTTACTTGATGCACGTGTTCATGGCAAACACATGCCACATATTTTCTGTGTTGCGCTGGGGCCAATTAGACACGCACAGAGAAATAAAAATGTACATGTTGTACCATTACGTTGCTCTTAAAATAATCCATGATAAAATGAGCTATGTTTGCTTACGTGGTTTCTGTAATTTGCCGTTCATATTGAACGAAACGGCAACCTCAAAACACGAATACACTTATTGCCGCGAGAAAATAGAGAACTGTTATTTTAAAATCTTCATTCCCCACAGACGTCAAGAAAACGTCTTAGATAGTGAAGATACATTGATGTACAGAAGCAAAACAAGGGGCCATCTGGCCATTCACTTGAAGCATCAGAGAACTAGACTAAAAACTTGATCGAGTTGGAGGTCATTTACACAGAAGCGTTGGTTGCGTGGCATTTTTCTTTAAATAGTTTTCTTATGTGGATACTGCTTCTGCATTTTAACCACCATGTATTCCAAATGTCATTGTTGTGGTTTTGGTTCTCAGTGTCTCATTTGCTGGTGTAGCAGAAACAAAAAATGCACATCAGAGAGCACCCGAGATATAGTAACCTCACGACGCGAACGTGACGTTCAAAATGCATTTGAGGAAGAGCATGGCGAGCCGGTGAATGGATCTAGATCGCTGCGTAGTGCACTCATCTGCAGTGATAGCACGTACAACTAAGTCAACACGCACGTCGCGTAACCTCCCCTGTTAACAACGGGGGTGCAGCTGACGTCTCTCCTCCCGCCCCCAACCACTCATTCGCGCGTTGCCGTTTGGCCTCACCCCGCTTCCCCCTGCCGCCACCCCCTCTACGCCTCCTACAGGTTTTCACCCTTGCCCTCACTCTCCTGGTCAGCTAATGTTTCGTTCATTTACATACCCGTCCCTGTTCCTGTACGTTTCAGCGGGATGTAAATCATTCTGATCCGGCACTAAGCTTGACAGTGCAGTAAATGCACCTCGTAGGGCGCTATTGTTTCATGTTTACTTTGTCCTCTTTAGCGTATATTTGTGCACACACGTTTTTTTCTGAAGACGTGGATTGAAACCGTGTCATAACGGAGTGACATGTTGTTAGGATAAAGATTTTAACGTGACTTAAAGCAAAACGTTAACTGAATAATGACTAATTTCTGCTATTCACGGTTTAAGTGCTAGAAAATTATTCGTTACACGACTGTTATCGTAAATTCTAGAAGAAAAAATATTTTATTTAAGTGAATATAAATACACACTGGGATTTCAAGCTGCATATATGAATATATCATAGTTAAGGTTGCCGAGAAATGGCTTTGGTGAATAGAAAATATTTGTAGTTATTATTTTGGAAATAGCTATTGTACGACTTAAACGTTTAGCACCGTTTCTTTCCTCAATATTTGCGGATATCTAAATCCACCTTTTAAGTACTTTCTATTGGTATAATTTCTTATAATAAATTTCATAATAATACAAGGTAATCGATTAATAATTCAAACAAGCAATTAATACAAAATGCTTATCAGCATGTTATAGATTTGAATCGCAAGGTGATAGCCTTTAGCGACATTAGGTTTTTGAAAACATGTGGAAATGTTTGCGTTCAATTATGTCAGTATATTGGATGTTTCCACATGTCTTTATCCATATCAATTATTGAAGAGATAGAGAGGGCGTGGCAAAATTCCGACATGCTGCTATTATTGAAGAGAAGATATACATAATTGAACACGCTAATGGAAACGTATGCCTGTATCACCATTCAGAAAAAATATCGATGAAGCTCATCTTCCTGCTCATCCTCCTCCACTTCATTCTCCCCTTCCTCAGTCTTCTACCCCTCATTCTCACCACTCATCCTCCACCCCCTCAAACCGGCGTAGATGGCGCAGGCCATTAACTGATGTCACTATAGTGCCTCTGACCGGGAGGGCCTACGGTTCGAATCCCAACGGATTTTCGACTCTATCTTCATAGCACCGTCGAATTCAACCGCTGTCTGGAGGCGAATTCTAGAGGGCGGCTCTTCTGATCGGTAGTTTTCCGTGGTTTCTCCAATCAGATCTTGGCGAATGCCTGAGTAGTACCCTAACAAACGAGCGAAATACCGCGCCTTCATTCCTTCCTATTTCTTGACCTCTCCCCACTCCTTACTTACACACATTTATATTTACATGCGCTACACATGTCAGTCGGAAACTTAGAGCGTTTCCCGGCTGGGGCGCTGCCACGCTGAGGGGAGATACCTAGTCGGTGAAAATACCGCTAGCCGACGTGTAGGCCGGCACCAGATCTCATCAAGCAGCGGGGTAAGGTCACCGCCTCCTCCCGGGATAAAAAAAATGGATATCATTTACGAGACTAATGACCTTAGCAATTGACGCGCTTGGAATCATTAATCAATTATTCAATCCATCACCTCAACCACCTACTCTACTTCACGTCATCCACTTCACTAACTTCCGCTCCCCACTTCTTTAGGTGTCGCACCTCCTCCACTTCTCCCACCTCCGCCTCCCCCACTTTTCCACTTCTTTGGGCGTGGCGTCCTCCGGCGTCGGCGGCGCCTGGGGGCGGAGGGGCGCGCACAAAAGGCGCGCGTCCGTGGGTGCCGCCGCCGCTGCCGCTTCCGCCCCCCGCGGTCTCCGCGGCCCCGGCCCCGACGCCCCCCGCTGGCGTGGCGCCCCCTGGGGCGGCGGGGCGTTAAACTGCCCGCGATTGCTCAGTAAACACTCGGCGACTTAGCGGCGGCGCGGGATTAGCCCGCGGCGGCAGATGGCGCGCCGGCAGCGGCGGCGGCGAGGGCGGCGGAATTGGCGGCGGAGGAGGCTGCCGGGGCCGAGGCCGCTAATTGAATCGGCGCGTATGGCCCGCGTTAGAGCTCTGGCCGTCGCCGCCGCCATCGTCACCCTCGTCTTTCTCCCCTACTCATCTCTAGCTTCATCGTCGGGGCGACCGGCCTCCTGAGACTCTTGCCTCGATGCAGCACTACACCCGCCCGGCCGCTGCTTAAATAAACAATTATAGTATTACGGCAGGGCATTCACACTTACTGTTATTTATTTTTTCTAAATGGGCGGATTTTGAGCGCGAGTCTCGATGTGTAAAAATCGATTCATCATAGGATGTTTTATGATGAATTATTTAAGATGATTATCAGACGTGTCGTGTTCATGCTAGGAGTGCATCTATGTTGCGATGAATATTTTAAGATGTGATGGTGTGCTGAGGGTGATATTGAGTAAGGCTGGAGGCCTGAAGCTTCCTCGACTCGACGGGCCGCGTGTTCGAATCTCGCCTCGGGGATGAATATTTGTGTTGTCCTTACGTGTTCTTTATACAGTTAAAACAATCAAAGTGGCCGCTATATGACACAGTTGTTAAAAAGCGACCTGAAATAAAAAGGGCAATTTTAAAAATAAGATTTCCTTGACAAAAAGCTCCATTTTTTCTTTGATATTTTTCTCGATTGGAGCAGAGTGTGCTTATAAAAATAACGCAGGTCCGTTTTTCATTACGGCAGAGTCAGAACCAACCTTGCCGCTCTCTTTGCAGTGACTCTGACCGTGAAATCCCAGTGTTCGGGTCCCGACTGTCACAGGTTTTTGACACTAGCTAGATAGCTAAGAGAAATTCTGCCGTTATCTGGAGGATTATTCTAGCATCCGGCTGGGCTGATTGCTAGTTTTCGGGGGTTTCTCCTATCAACACAAGGCGAATACCGCAGCAGTATCCTAACAAATGGACGTCTGACCGGGCGCAATCTTTCCTTCCTTTTCCTTGCCCTGTCCTCTTCATTTACACACATACACACTTACTCTTACATTTACTAAAACAGATATTGGGAACTTAGAATCCCATCCTTCCTATTGGGAAAGATGCTTGGAGGCGCATTTACAACACTCGAAACACTGTTGTAAACTTGGGAGGCCTTTAGCGTAATTTGTGAACGAGTGCACTAGAATTCTGACGACCGGCTGGAAGGATAAGATTGTGACTTACAAAAATCGGGCGCGGCTCCAGGGCCGCTCGCGATACATTGTTGTCTAAGTGCGTCAGATCAGAAATTGGCATTTTGCAAATTTTTGCAAATTTTATTAACAGTATCCGACAATATTTCCTAAAATTATTCTTCGAACTTCGAAGAAAAAAGAGGAAAATTTGTCAAGAAACTCTAGTGCGGAAAAGAAGAGTTTTTTTTAAAAAAATGACATAATAATCTGTTCATGTATTGTGAAGAAAACGTTGGTTATTATTTTTCAATCTGAAATTATTTATCCTGTATTCATGGAGTTCAAGGACACAGTGAAGTCTTGATTTTATTTTCAACACTACACTTTACACTTTACTTACACGTACTACTTACTACTTACATTTTAATGCCATTAGTCATATAAACAGATCTTGTGTATACATGTTCCCGTGAAACATAAGTAGCACTATTATGACATCCAAACATTATTAACGAACGTTTGTGTGGATATTTTGTAAGGAAATCGTGTGAGGGAGGGGCCTCTATAGTTGCGTAATTTTGCGAGTCACAGAAGTTGTAATCTCTCATTGCTCTTTCAGTGGAATGTTTTTGTGAAATGAAAATGTTCTTGGGAAACGGATATACTCGTATAATGATAAAATATAAATACATAGGCATATACCTTTCGAAATTTCACTATCTACATGGACTGACAGGGATTTGAACTCAGTATCTTAAGCTGGACAATGACCATGCTCGCTGCTATGGACAAACTCGTATGAAGGAGGAAGGCCTGAGCAACTCGTGTGAGAAATTACTCTCGCTACATCTCTCGGGCTGATTGTATTAGTCCCATGTTCTCCGAAGCCGTAGTGAACCAGTTCCAACTCGGAATACAAGCTGTTTCTTAGAGTCACGGGGTTCATTTCTATAACACGGATGATTTCCACTATCAAAAAAGTACATGGCAACCTTTGAACCACCTAGTCACAGGATCTCCGTCGTAGATACCTGTTCATATGTCACAGCTTGTCTTGATCGCATTGGCTCCTTTTCTTTCGCGTGCAAAATTCCACCTAATTTATTTTTCTCTTCTTCTGAATTATAAATAAAATTAACACTTTCGTTTTCATTTTTGTGTCTTAATCCCAATCCATTCAAACATTTTAATTGGAATTATTGAATTCAATAAATATAAATTTTGCTAACACAGGTACCACTTATTCCCCAATATATTACATATTCCACTTGCACAACTTTGTGATTCTCGCGGATACGTTACACAGTTTTCAACAGTGTTTTGACCTTAAATAAATGAATAAATAAACAAAAAGGATTTAAAGCAAACAAATAGTTTCACTCGCACATAAGAGTGAAGTTATGAAATATCTTCTAATGAACTATTGATGAAATATCTTTTAAATGAAGTATTAAATGCATTGTCATTTCTAATATTGCGGTATTTTGCGTTTAGATAGATATTCTTCACTAGATTCCCTTTACCGATGAAGACACACAGGCAGGCAATTCTTGATACCGTTTTGTGGAAACAAAACACGTTCATTTAATCGTAACTCCTTGTACGTCCCCCAGAAAGAATCCGCGAATACTCTTGAGACGGGGAGGATTCCACTACAATCTCATTTAAATTCCCTGCTTCTTCGGGCGCGAGCTGCGGAGCGGCGTCGATTTGTCGGCGGCGCGGTGCGGCGTGGCGTGGTGCTGCGTGGCGGGGCGCGGA